TAACCCAGGGATCCCTTCAAAAGTATATTCCATTGGAGACTGAATTTTTCTTCAAAGGATTTCAAAAAAATATAAGCTGTGGTTCTAATCATCAGTCCACTCCCCATTATCATCCTTAATCCAAGAAATTTGATTTCTTTGTTTCCTAAAGTTCAAAAAATTATGAAAAACTTAATATTCTGATATCCCTCCTTTAAAAGTGTCTAAAACTCTATCTCAAATTCAACTCTTGTTGGAACAGCAAATTCATTTGCTGTTTTTCAAGGTTTAGAACTAAAATTTGCTCCTCCAAATTCTAGGATTTTGGTTCCAGTTTTATCGATAGTCTCATCAAAACTCTCTTTTCTCTACCTCTTCAAATCCTTCTTAGTCAGATTCCATTTCTCACTAATTCGAAAACTAACATATCCTAGGAACTCAGTCTCCCCTCTTGTCTTAATGATTTTCACACATTCTTCTTCAAGCAGCTAACTCTGAAAAAACCTAAGAGAGAGGGATTTGTATTCTAGTGAGCTATTTATTAAGATTTTTAGTGTTTTATGATCCAACCTCCAACTTAGGAGATAGGACCTACAAAGGCTTTAACCGACTAGAACAAATTTAAGAATCCAATTTAGACAAAGAATACAATGTCCTCCAATTTGGTAAAATATTGTTGAAGGAAGACATTATGTTTGGTTTCATAATTTGAAGTTTATTGTTGGGATTGATGAAGTCACCCTGGTAAGATGCGCGTTTTTAACAAATCCGCAGAGAGTCAATTGGCTTAGGCAGTGTTCGGCACTGTCTGTAAATGGGATGAATATCCGTTCTGGTAATTGTGGACGGGACCGGTCCATGTTATATTGTGGATTGGTTTTGTTTATACTCCAACTTTTCATTTATGGTCAAAACTCATGGTTAGGATCCGTCCATACTCTATTTTTTATTCCCTGTTTCACATTCTTGGAAAGGTTGAAATCTTATTGTTTGTTTCACATTTTAATATTTTTTTAATAAAATATTAACTATTTTACTTAATTTTTTAGTTTTTTTTAAATTTTAATATTTTTTATCAATAAAATAATATTTTTAAATATTTAAAATATATTTTTTAAAATTTTAATTTTTTTACTATTGTTTCATAATAAATTAATATTTATTGGTTCATATTAATTCATTGATACATTTTTTAAAATATTTATCATATAAAATGAAAAAATTAGATATTTACGATTAAATGTGTAGATCGAGGTTTTCGAACCACTGTTGACCCAAATGGTCGGACCATTCGGCCTGGGAACCGTCTAGGCAAGCAGTTCCGTTTTACCCCAAACCCGGTTTTTGGCCAAAAATCGTTGAAAAGGTCAACAACCTGTTGACCCGAGCAGTCAAACCGTCGACCCGTTCAACTATTTTAACCGTTTTTTATTTTTAATTTGTTTGTCAAAACGAGTTCTCCGTTCGAACCGGATGGTTGAACCATCGACTTGGAAACTGGTGGCCAGAACGACTATGTTTCCAAGTCGTTTTTTAAAACATTGATGTAGATCATTCATAAATGTGTATGAGATACATGGAATAAAAAAATGTGGTATAGACTAGTTCACACCACGCCTACAGAATGCCACTGTGGGTGCGGATCTGTCCAATCCACATAATTTGTCCATAGTTCAGAACAGCTGTGGATTGTGGTGTGGTGTGAATTAATCCCTGCCGCAGGGTATAGTATGAACCAGTCCATACCCACCAATTTGTCATCCACACTAAAGAATATCCCCTTAAATGCTAAACTTTCAACGAAAAAGTACGAACAGACCCAATGCAAGTTTCAAAATTTCACTGTAGATCTATAGATATTTAAAATGTCAAAACCCCCACTCTATACACCAATACCCATCCATGAATAGGCATCAATTTCAAGCTAGTACGCAAAAAATTTCTAACCTTCAGCTGAACCGTCATTCTCCCAAATTTCAATGAACGTAATAATGAAAAAAACCGAGTAGCGATTAAAACATTAGAGTGATTTTAGAAATCCAATGAGATTCATTATTTATAGAGTTGTCAACGAGTCGGGTGTGGTTTGGAATAGGGTGCATCAGTCTAAAACCGATTAAAATAATTAATTGTATTAAATAAGGTTAAAATACAAAAAACCTATTCCTTTAGCTTCCTGAAATTTTTGACAATCATAAAAACCCCTTCTATAGTTTTATTTTTACAAATACTTTTTCTAAACTTTTGAGAATTTCAACAAAATCCTCTCTTTGGTCGTTGTTTCAAATGGAAAACATTAGACTGCTGCATCCGTTTTTTCCAAAAACTCATTTATCCTTTTATAAATTATTTTAGATACAAAATTACTAAAACAACTCCGCCTTAATTCAACAAAAACCTCCCTTAACAATCATCTCAGTAATTTTACATACAAAACTATTAAAAGGGATAGGGAAACTCGGCGGGTTTTACATTTTAACAAAATTTAAAAGACATCGGAGCCCAGACTGACTCCATTAGAAATCCATACGTGATGTTAGAGATGTAAAGTGGGTCATGCCGAACCGGCACAGCATGGCCCATGCTAAAGGCGGGCCGTGCGTGCTACCCAGCGGGCAGTCACGGGCCGTGCTACCCTCCCTGGTGGAAATTTTGGGGGTCAGCCTGACACAGCCCACGGCCCAGGCCCAAGCGGGCCCGTGCCGTGCTACGGGCCTAGGCCGGGCCAAGCTGCAGGCCATGCCATGGGCTTGGGCTGTGCTGGGTTGGGCCATAGGGCAGGCCTTGGGCCTGGGACAAATCGGGCTAGACTCACTGAATGGATTATTGTCATATTAGTATCTCTGGGTCAGGATTCAAGATAGGATACAAATAATAAATTAATAACGAATTTACGATTACCTAAAGAATAAATAAATAGAATTATAAAACAATTCAAATAGAAATTTAAGAATTTAATTTCATTTAAATTTGAATGAATAATGATACAAATTACAAAGTATACAATTATACAAATATTGAATTATGAAATATACAATGGTTGGATACTTCATAAACTTCATACTTGGATGAATGAAATATGAAGATGGAATAAATTAATAAAATATAAAAAATATAATATAGAATTATAGACTATATAGTTACAATTGAAAATACAAAATTACATTAATAGCGAATAAATTAAATAAAATTAAAACAAATTTTACAATAATTTGATAGAATAAAAAATTGTGGGTTATTTGTTATAATTTACAATTTAAAGAAAATTTACATATACAATATGATGAAAGCACTCACACACACTTTCATCATCTGCTTCGGGTGAAAAACCAAATATCCAATGTATGTAGTACTGTAGTAGTATGTAGTATCATGCCCTCCTTTATCTTGTAATTGTAAAGTTGTAATCTATATTCTGCATCATGATTCATGACTACATCTAACCAACCCTGGTAGGCTGGTACAGTGGTAGTGCCGTAGTGTGGTACCTGCAAGTCTTGCACTAAAACAATTAAACAAGACTCTGATAGAACTATAGCTTGTAGACACCGAAGGGGTTAAAGATCACGGATCATGTGCCATGGTGGGATTGGCGGCAAGAAATGTTCTTCGAGACTCCAACTTCTCCCAATATTTTTAAAATTTATTTTCTATTAATATTATTTAAAAAATTCATTTAAATTGTGGGTTATTTCTTCTTCCTTCTCATGTGTGACAAAATGTCTAGTCAAATGGCCAGTACCACCCTTGCTACAATGGCTAAAGTCTTTTTTACATTTTTGGCAAACTGCTCTTTTCTCCTTCCCCTTACCATCTTCTATTTTAAATATTCTCCAAATTGGGCTACTAAACTTGGGGTTTGGGAAGAGCTGACCATTTTTTTTCAAATTCTAAAAATAAATAAATTAATTTAATTAGACTTACCCTAGAATCCCAGATTGCCGGTTCAAAATCCCATATTCCCAACTTGGTTTCAATGGTTGAAGTCTTTCAACGTGACAACATCCAAGGCTCCAAGCCTCCCAAATTATTAATTTGGAGAATCAGACAATCAACCAATCAGACTATAAGACTATCAGAGTTCACTTAGATTGTAAAGAATGTATGAGAGACTGAGAGAGGAAAGACTGAAGAGATTAAGAGAACAAGTAATAACTTAATAGGAGAATTGTTGAATCGGTGTGATGAGAATGGTGAAGGATAGCTAGATAGGGCTAATGGGCTATTTATAGGAATTGAACATAATTCAATTGCCCAAAATACCCAAAAAACTATATATTGTTTAGTTGTTGGGAGGAGTATTTTGGTCATTGTAAAGTTACTTATAATTTTATCGAAAATGCCCCCCTAAATTAGTTATTATATAGCTGTTGGGGGGCATTTATATCATTTTTTCAACCCCCATAAACAAAATACATAAATACCCCCTAATATGGGTGTTTATAACTATTGGGGTATTTCTGTAAAAAAACCCTTCATGGTTGGCGTGACCCATGGGCCTCAGGCGGCATGGCACATGTATTCGCTGTGCCAGCCCATAGGCCTCAAACCCCGACCCAACATGACACAGACCTCTATGCCAAGCTTGGCGTGACCCATGGGCCTTCATGGTTTCAGGCCGCGAGCTGATTTATACCTCTACGTAACGTGTTGTTCTCGCATTCGAGATGCAGAAAGTTTTCTTTTAGACGCAGACGATGTAAACTCTGTTTTCGTCAATTTCACAGGGGATTATGAATGTTCAAATTCAATCCGGTATCATATCTTTCCGGCATCACAGTGGGTTGTTGAATGTCAGCGTCATGACTCATGAGAAAAGCTTACGACCATGTAATAAGTCTTATCCAAATGGAAAAGATATGATATTGAAAAATCAACTGAATAATAAATTTGAAATCACCAAACGTGATAACAAATAAAGTGTAATTTATTATGGATGGATTTTGATTGGTTCATAAATTTTCCTTCAAATAAAACACAGTAGGAAAAAGAAAAAAGTTATCCGAAACATAAATAATTTCTCGGTTCTCCAACAATCCAACCCTTTATTTTCCGCATGATGCTACAATTAATGTAGCACCTACCAAACCTTAGGAATCTGGAAATCTCCAAAGATAAAGAAGAGAAGAGAAGAGAACATCAACACTCACCGTTCACCAACCACAGGATCGAAATTCCCCAGCTCCCAAACACCATTGCCATGGCGGTTCCCTCTTCAAGTGCAACAAGCTCCATCAACCCCTACGATTACCTCAAGATCGTCCCCAACCCCGACGGCACTCTCACCCGACTCACTGAAATTCCCGACCTCCCATCCACCGGCGATTCTGACTTGCTTCAATCCGTTCTCACCAAAGACGTTATTCTCAACCCCACTAATAAGACCTGGGCCCGCATCTTCCGCCCACGCGATTCGGCTCCCAATTCCCGTCTCCCTCTCGTAATCTACTTCCACGGCGGAGGTTTCATCCTCTTCAGTGCTGCAACCCAGCCATTCCACCTCTCATGTGCTCGCATGGCCTCTCAACTCCCCGCCGTGGTCATGTCCGTGGATTATCGTCTCGCTCCAGAACATCGCCTTCCCGCAGCCTACCATGATGCCGTCGGCTCCCTTCTGTGGGTGAAGAAGCAGGCCATGGCTGAGTCGGGGGAGGGGGAGAGTTGGGTGAAGGACTACGCTGATGTTTCCATGTGCTTCCTCATGGGCAGTAGCGCCGGTGGCAACATCGTCTACCATGCCGGGTTGCGGGCGTTGGGTCTGGATCTCGGGTCCGTCAAGATCAATGGGCTGATTCTGAACCAGCCGTACTTCGGTGGGACGAGAAGGACGGAATCGGAGTTGAGACTGAGCGAGGACCGTATAATCCCTCTGCCAGTGAACGACCTGATGTGGGAACTGGCGTTGCCCAACGGTGCGGATCGAGATCACGAGTACTCCAACCCGAATGGGTCCCACTTGCAGCATAGGGTGAAGAATGCCGAGATTGGGATTGGGTCCCAACCGCTACCGCTACCGCGATGTTTGGTGAGGGGACACGGTGGGGACCCCTTAATCGACCGTCAGAAGGAGATCGTGAAGATGTTGGAGGGATGTGGGGTCCACGTGGATGCTCGGTTCTATGACGACGGTTGCCACGGGGTGGAGCTCTTCGAACCCGCCAAGGCAGAGGCACTGTTGGTGGACATCAAGGCCTTCGTCTACTCGTCCTCTGCACCCAAGATGTAATGATTTAATATTTCCTAAACCGTGAATCACGGCCCTCGATTTATTGATGTGGCCCCACATTGAAGTAGATGAATCAACGTGAATGGGACCACAACAATGCATTTTAAAGGCCGTGATTTTAGGGGTAGATTATGATTAATTATTTGAGAATTAAAAGTGAGCTGTTGTAGTCGTAAAATATTCCTTCCCTGTCAAAGAAATAATATTTGCAAGTAATCATACGCAGTGCACTTAATTAATTAATAATCAACAGTTAATCTGAAACGTTTGCTTTGCTTACTCACTGAGTCACTGTGTGTGAGTCAATGAAGTTTGAGCTCTGTCATGAACCCGTTTGGGAGGGATTTGAATTGTGTTGATAGAGCCACTTTCAATTATGATAGTTTCATTGAAAAGTCTATTTATTTTTTGAATTCCTTATTTTTATGAAATAAGGCTTTACAATGCCAAAAGCCGTTACCTAAAAGTCCTCCCAAATGGGCATCATGTCCAGCGATTTTTTGTGGAAAATAGTAGCTGAGGTGATGTCAAATGTCAGAGCTCAGGTGGGGTAGTAAATATCAAAATCACTCTATCAATCATCTGAATTTATACGTGACAAAAGCAATATTACTCATAATTTGCCATCTGTATGCATTGAAGATACACATGCCACATGTATACACCATATACACGTGGCAACCACTTATAATTGACACTTGGTTTAGGAAACGAAATGGTTCTGTACGAATATAATGCTATATATAGCATTACAATAAACAAGTTATAAAAACATTCCATTAAGCTTCAAGAATAGTTTAAGAAATGAAGAAATCGACAACAATGATTCCGGTGGTAGTAAACATGCAATAGATATACCATTATGCTTGAAGATATTGCATAAAATAAAATAAAAAAACATTAAAAGAAAGGGGAAAATATGAAACTGGGATTCATATCTATGATTCTAGTGAGGACTGTGCTTCCAACAGTGATTTCCAGTGACAATGGTGGTCAGAGATGGGCGACGGCAGAACAAGAACCCGTGGTGGCATAGAGGTTAAGGCTTGAAGACAACAGGCAAATTGGGGGGTCTCAATCAAGGAGTTTTACCTGAAGGGTGGTCACACGAAATGGACCACCCTTCACATAAAATGGAAGCAAAACTTCCCCAAAAGCACAAAGTAATAAAAGTCAAATTCATGCTTTTAAAAAGTATGAAAGCCAAAGTAGAAAATATGCCATCCAAACACAATGTGGTGTTTTTCGTACTTTCATACTTTCAAAAGTATGAAAAAAGTCTATCCAAACAAAGAGCCCTAATCTCCTCCCAATAAAAACACATTATAATATATTTCAATATAATTGTATCCATACATCTCATGTATACATGGAGGGTCCCAATCTTATGGTGAGATGTGTCATGTGTGCACACACATCATGTTGGAATGGAGATGGGACAGTTTTTGTTAGGAAGAGATGTGGGGACTTGAACTAGTTCCAAAATGCACCACATTGAACCAAGGTTTTAAAAATTGACTCGGAAATGGAACTGCTTTAATCACTAGTTTCTGAGTCAGTGATTTGACTATCCGGGTCGAACGGTTTGGACGGTTTGATCTATAGATTGGATTTTTAGGCTTAAGGCCTATTCATTTCCTCTTAACTCTTATCTCTTAAGAGGAATCTTTTAACTTTAAGAGAAAATTGGTTGTTTGTTTCTTCTTATCTCTTATCTCTTATCTCTTATCTCTTAAAGTTCAATCATATAACTTTTTATTTTCCAATGATACCCCCAAAAAGACAAACAAAAACTCTCATATATAGGGTCAAAATGGATATTTGATAGTTTTCAGAATTCAGAATTCAGAGGAAAGAAAAGTTCACCAATACCAATATACCTCTTAATTTAATTATTACACTTTCAGATGTTAGAGTTCAGAGCAAACGAATAAGCCCTTAGTATATTAGGGTTTTATGAGAAAAGATAGCGCTAGAGCAACAACAATGACAAGAACAGGCAACAATGATGGCACTTTCTCAAATCTAAGATCTGAGTACTCATTTCTCTTTCTTTGATCTCAAATCTCTCTCTCTCTCTCCCTCTCTCTCTCTCTCTCTCTCTCAGATCTCAGTGGTTTTAGATCCAAGATCATGTTTCAATCTTCCCATCCACAAACTACTATTCGGGTTAAACAGTTTAGCGGTTTGACCATTTGAGTCAATGTTTTTCTAACCAACTCATTGGTTTTTTTTTCTTTTTTTTTCAAAAGAAAATGGTCCAGCCTAAAAACAGACCCTGATATTTAACTGGTCCTTGGGTCAAACGGTTCAACCATCCAATCTGGTTCGGTTATTAAAACAATGCATTGAACAACTACTCTTTTGGAGTGTGGTGTTCTAAAACCAATAATTAAGGGTTCTAGAGCATAAAATACCTAGCCTTTTTATGAAGGGAAAATCTATGATACAGGAAAGACATAGTACTAGAAGAGACTAGACCAATCAAAGCACCTCCGTGAACAATATCTCTATTTTAGAACATATCACACTTTTGCCTTCAAATGCCATCTATTTAGGATATTTCATTTCAGAACTAGTATGTTTCAAATCCCAATATTTTGAAACACACCATATCATTATGATATACAACACTGCGAAGGGTGTGGTGAGTTCTTGAGCACGACATCAAATGTCAAATACATCTCCATTAAGCATGATAGTCTAAAATTGGAACCTTTCTGTTCACTAGTTTCTAGTCGACGATTCGACTATTTGGTTCGAATGGACAATTCATTCCAACTTAAAAAAAAAAAATTAAAATGAAAATGGCCAAAAACCATTGAACAGGTAGAATAGGTTGACGGCTCAACTGCTTAGGTCAACAGGTCGCTGACCAAATCAATGGTTTTTTGCCAAGGACCAGGTTTGGGGTGAAACGGAACTAGTTGTCTGAACGGTTCCCAAGCCGAATGATCTAACCATCTAGGTCAACGACAATTTGAAAACACTAGGTTATAGAATACACTCTTATTCATCATCTTAAAATATGTTTGAATACTCAAGGAAAAGGATACAAGACATGAACTACTACATGACCAGGTTTGGGGTGAAACGGAACCAGTTGTCTGAACGGTTCCCAAGCCGAATGATCTAACCATCCAGGTCAACGACAATTTGAAAACACTAGGTTATAGAATACACTCTTATTCATCATCTTAAAATATGTTTGAATACTCAAGGAAAATGATACAAGACATGAACTACTACATGTCTACAAGGCAAGCAAGTGCTCCCTATAAAAAAGGCATAAGGATTTGTTGGTAACTTAATAACAGTGGATTCCCAATAGGATCAGGGATCACAATATCGATATCGGATATCGAATCAGATAAGTCAGATATGGATACGGATACGGATGCGGATACACTTTGGAAACGCATGGATATGAATGAAAGATATAGAAACACTCGGATACGCTAGTGAAATGCATACAAATCACATAAATACATTAATCATACTAAACCAAAAGTTGAATTATCTATGAATAAGATATAAACACATGAGAAATTCATACTTCTAGGTTATATGAAGAGAAATATTACAATAAGAACATTCAAACATTGTACAATAATTATCACCCTTTCAATTTAATAATTATAATATTCAAATTTCATTAATTTTTAGGTATATTTATTAATTTAGTATTTTATTTAAGGGAAAATTCCCGATAGGTACCCTATACTTTAGGTCGAGTGCCAATTTAGTACCCGTACTTTAAATTGTGACAATCTAGTACCCAAACTTTCAATTTGGGACAATTTGGTACCCGACATTAGATTTCCGTTAGTTAGAAATTCACATGCGGGTTAAAATTTTCAAAAATACCAAAAATACCCTTTACGAAAAACCCTTCTTATTCCCTTTCCCTAATCTCCTTTTGTCTTCGTTCTGGGTTGAACGAACGAAAGAGGAGAAGAGAGCCGACCTTCCTCTTCATTCCTAGCACTTCCATTCTACCCTTCTCTTCAAAATCAGTTGGAGAAACGATAGAGAGGCCGGCGAAGAAAGGTTGGAGAAACGACAAAGGAGGCCCTTCCCTAGTCCAAGCAATCCGGCAGGCCCATGGAAGAGGCCTCTATTCTTGTGTCAACATCCGAACATGACATTCTCAACTTTTTGGAATTCTGATTTTTCGGTCAGTGATGTCAGGTTCACTATGAAGGTCACCAAGGCAAAATCTCCGATCGTGTTCGACCGATCACCGTACTAGTAGAAGTAGGGGTAGGACTGGTTATTGGCTTTGCAAGGTTGTGAGAGATCAGGGGAGGAGACCAATTGACAACGAGGATCACGACAGGTGACATTCTGGAAGGACGATGATTCCTACGGATTGTATGGGGGGCCATTCCGCTTGAAGCAGTCATGGTAGGGAAGACATTATATCCAGTTGAGATCACTACCAATATCAAGAATTAGAGAGAAATGCTTAGGAGGAGTACCCACAAAAACGTCCATGAATTGCTCGCCTGACCCAAGGTTGAAACCAGATTCCAGAGTTTCCACAAGTCTTCTGGCTGACTCACTTGTGTCAGATTCCGATGCCGCTGCTGGTGCAACCATAGGCTTCAGCCCTACCAGCTTCTTCTCTGTTAACCTCGAAACCATGTTCTGGTTCATCCTCTCTGTAATCCTTCTGAAAAGGGTTTGGATTCTGGTCAAGTCTCTATGGGTGGATTGACGTACTGATTCCTTTTTCCTAGCTTCATCTCCATGAGTCATCGATCTGTGTTTGAGGTGGAGCTTCACTGTTAGTTTACTGGATGGAGCTCCTACTATCTTATCTCCGTCGTCATCACCATCTCTTCCTCTAGAATGGTTGCTTCTGTTGGTTTATGCGAAGAAGTCTTCATCTTTGTGAGATGATACCCTATATTTTCCGAAGCTGTGACTGAATTGAAGCTTATGTAATCGAGGAGTTCAATACCAGCAAGAATAGAAGAACCATTGGACTTAAATCCATGTTGGTTAGAAATGACGACAATGACACTGAAGCAAATGATAATCAAGATGAAGAAAATCTTGGAAAACACCATGCTCTCTTCTTCTTCGGTTACAGAGCTCCTCCTACATGAAAGGCTTCAAGGGGAAAAAGGTAGACTAGGTAATTAAAACGTAAAATTAATTGAACTCCAATTCAAAGCAGATATTTTTGCAGAGGAGGAAGAAGAAAAACAGGA